GAAAAACAAAAAGTATTCAGGGTCAGGGTTTAGTTTCGAGCGAGCGATCGACGAAGGCGAGAATAGCCGGTCGCCAATGAAAGATCCGCGGGAAACATTCGCCAATGAATGCTTTTTGTGTGCAAAAAAGGGGGAAATTCCGTTCATTTTTTGGTTTAATGCCAGTGTTAACAAACGAACGGTACTAAAAAATGACTGTACAAATATGCGCGCAGCGTAAACTTTTATTTTTAACAGTTTATATTTCTGAAAAGCCGTTATTTTGAAAACCGTGTAAATAAAGTACCGTGTAAAGTATCGAGGGATAGGTGTATCTTCTATTTATCGGTTATATTCAAAATGCACTAACCGTCAATTTTCGTTGAATTTTTACAATTGTAAAAAGATGACCAGTGACCACCGTGGCGTCACAGGAGAAACCGTGGCCGGTCATATATGACCAACGTGGCAGTCAAAGTGTTAAAAGACATTTATTTCGATCGACGCTTGCCATATTTAAGATAATATTTAATCTTGCAAGGTCTTGATGAAAGTAACTTGATTTAATATTTGAATAATTCCATTCGATTCTTGGTATATGTATTTACAATAAATAACGAAATCCTTAGTCACAGTTTTCTTGAATCCATGACTCACTGGAACTTACGTTATAAATTACAGTTTCTACCCAGGATATAAAACTTTCCTCAACGGAACTTCGTAGAGTGAAACTGTCTATTGAGAAACTACATTCCATACATGTAATGGTACATGTTGCATAATTATTAAATAAATCATGTCGGAGAAGTTGATAAGAATTTAGGTAGAATTTTATTGAAAGCGTTGGCAATTACAGAATGTCGAGAGGAGTTAATAAAAGTTTCAATAACCTGAGTCTCGCAGATCAACATTTTTCAAGTACCTATACATTGCAGGAAGTCTCTAGAATTACTGTTTAAAAAATCTGAAAAGTTACTGTCATTCTCAAGGATTTTAAAGTGCAGTACGTAAAAGCTGTCGGTCACGTTGAAAGTTTCATTTCAAATTTGAAAACATTACAACTTTTTAGACTTCTAATATGGAAACAAGAGCATACTTGTGCCACTAAGAAGATGGCGGTCGTTTAAGCGACACAATTTTCTCTACTTAATTGAAAAAATCTGAATGCGTAAAACTTAGTTTTGCCTTTTAATTTTTTGTCTCTCTCCTTTGCCTTCCGACTTCTAAGGAAAACAAAGGTGTTCGAGTATTAATGATAAATAATGAGTGCATCGATGTTTCAAGAACAAAATTTGCATCCGGAAAAACTATATATTTTCTGTAATGTGATGGAAACGTAGCGTATTATAAATTGTTAAGTAAGACTGAAACAACAAATCACTTGTTAAAGCAATGTCGGGGATAAAAAAGTATGCATTCGTTAGTAAGTGAATAACTGCTTTCAGTCACGACGACGCTCAGCTGTACATATAAAGCTACTATAACTCGAAAAAAGAACGTTATGTCACTTGTGTTAAAAAGTAATTGATTACTCGTCTCGTCTACACTCTTCGATATCATTAGGCTACTATGATAATTGTTTTCGGCGTGATAAAAAAGTGCTATAAATTTTCATGCAAATGAGTAAATAATAACAGTATACCACAGATTTACTCCCATTACTTGTATCTGTTATAAGATTTGAACATGTTCGGGACGGTAGCGAAATTCACGAAACAATCGTTTATGACCGGATGGTTCGATTATTATCGTTAATACTCAATCTTTTTCAGCTTGGAATCTTTTCAGCTCTTAAATAAACGTGTTTTTTCGTAGACTATCATGGGATAACGTGGTCACCGGTCTATCGTCCTGGACGTGTTAAAGTTTACTTGAAGTTTATTACTCAATACCCTACTATACTCGTACCGTCCGCCAAGCTTACTGTAATTTAGCTTAAAACGATCTTTCAATTCCGTCTAAGCAAGGATAAAGAACAACGCATGTAAATCGCAGCCTTAAACGTGTCATCTTCTACAGCCTTTATCTCTTGCTCCGCTTCTCTCATCTTACGCTCCTTTTTCCTTGAATTCTTTATTCTCTCCTCGTTAATCCCTTTGTGTTGCAATTCACAAAGTAGAATTTAATCTGAAACTTCGAGAACGTGTTCATTGCTCGTCGATACAAACGACGTGTTGTCAATGAAAATGAGGAAACGGTGTAATTGTACGAAACGGTGCCGATTCTTTTCTTCTTCTTCTTCACTGTGGTTCACGGAAATGGAAGGGCGTACATCTCACGGACACTTTCGTCTTCCGCGTATCAAGAGGTACACGACCTCCTGAAGCGACTTCTGGAACTGCCGAGTCTGTTAGAAGCACGTGGTGAACTGGACCACGAGGCTGCGAAGATACCGTTAAGCGCGTAACCGGCAAAAAGTCGAGCCGTGACCAAACGGGTGTGTATGCTCGTTGCCACGTTCTTCGGAAGTTTCTACCACCAGCCATTGTCAGCTTCTGTACTTTTATCGTGTCGCTCGAGATCAATCGACTGTGGATTCTGTGCGTTTCTTTCACTCCCGGTGTTGCGTTTTTTGCCACCGAACGTCGACGAAAGGATATCACGATCGCGTTCAACTTGGATTTGTTCTCGCTTTAAACGAAGTTGAAACGCTTCGCGGAACCTTTCAAGTGACTTTTACGGTGACATTTTCAACGAACACTCTTTTCCTGTCCGTTGAGAACGGATTACAGCACTTGGACAATTTCGAATGATTTCATTGAACAAATATGGCGGCTACAAGAAGCGTTCATACTTTATTGCTGCGATTTTGGTATTTATACCGGGTGAACCGTCTAATATGATCGTTCTTCGGTTATTCTGTTGTTATTGGACGGATCGAAATTTTCTTTGTGCCGCAAAATATGATTCAAAGAGGCCTTTGTGATACATTTTTCTATCAGTCCATTTATTTTCCAACTTTTTAAGGTTAGCTTCAGTTTTTTTTTATGTATAACCGTACAGTCTTTTTTGGCTATGAGTTAGCAAGCAAGGGAGTATAACGAAAAATTTTGTTTATTTGAAGGAAGGAAGAAAATATACAGAAAAAAAGTTAGTTTGTCGCTATAGATAACATGTGATGTCTCTAATTTTAAGTTCCAAACTTCTGCAAATTCACTGCATTTTTTTTTTCCTTGCAGTGTTAAAATATCTTTTTGCTGTTTCTTTAGTTCAGATTGAGAAAAAGATATTTTATGCTCGCCGAACTCATATTAACATCCGTTGAGAAACCGTCACAAATCCGTGATCACGTTAGGTGGTTCACCCGGTATATCGATTAAATAGGTTCGCACATACTGCAGTCTGTTTAGAAAAATTTGCCGTTATGGAAATGAAATATAGAAAGGTATAAGTATACAGTGAATATTGTTTAGACCTACTGTGCATACGCATATACAGGTTATGGTAAAAATGGTGGCACAAGCGGAAAGGTGACGATTACTTTAAAAATAACTCAAAGGTGTATAACAAAATTTCGTCTTCCAAGGCTCAATTTTTATTTCTATTAGTGATTATTTTTATCCATATTAGTGCTAATGGGTATTAACAGAGATAATGAAAACAATTTTCGAATGATTTGAGAAAGTAGAAAACCGTTTACATTTCTTTAATTTGTTGAGTGAAATTTGCTACGAGAAATGTAAAAGGTATTGTTAAAAATTTTGTTAACGCCAGTCTCATCATTCAAATCATATTGTCATTAACGCTGATAGACATTGATACGAAAATAGACGAATACAGTGAATGATAAAATGGATACACTAGCAATTATCTGTGAATGCTATTTTGTACTTGTAACTTACTATTGCATAAAGAATTATCTTTCTACTGGTACCATCATTTTTGTACCACGATCGAGTATGCGAGGAATTACGGTTGGTCCTAATAGATGATCTGAAAAAATGTATCTGCGATAAATAATTTCTCATTAAAGCAGAAATTTGATAGGAGTTTGTATAATGATAACCGTTCAAATATCCCCTAATTATATAGAACGTATACCATTATGTACTTGGATATCGAATTAATATTTACATCTAATTACATAAATTCATTTTATATGAGTCACGGAGTAACGTTTGATAAGATGTTTAATCTAACTTTGAATAAATGTTAACCGATACGTGTTTTATTAGTTAAAGAAAAGAAAAAGGAAAGTACTTTTATGTGAATAATCAGAAATTACGCCAGCTTGTATGTGGCACGCATGTACGGTTACGAACATGATGACGTTGCTCTTTGAACTCGAAGAGAACAGGTAATGTTGGTATGACACACGTTGCGGTACAGTAAGAGTTGAGAAATGTGAAAGAACATAAGATTGCCACTAAGAGTAAGGGAAACTAGCTTGTTCAGTACTCACAATTATCACGTAATAGCTTTTACTAGACATGCACGGGGTAGTTATTGTTATCTATTTACCTGACATTTGTAACGTCGGTCAAGCTGATACGTATTTCACATTTTTATCTTTTTCTTTGGGAAAATGTAATTCACGATAGGCAGATTTTCATATTGTGCAATTTTCTGCCGCGTATTGATACGTAACTGTATACGAAATAACATTTGATACCGATAACGAGAATTTTACGTTTCAAATTTCATATTTAATCTATTATATAAATTTAATCTACGATCAACCAGAGATTCGGGGCTTTACAGAGGTATTTCATTTTTGCGAATACTTCTCGGAGGAAAAGTTCCGTCGCTTGCATACGTATAATGCTTCTCGATTTTAGTTAATTTTTACGAACTGGATATTTGTATGCGTGAAAGATTGCGTCACTAGAAGAGAATCAGTTTGTTACGCAACGCACAGCGAAATCGGCGATACTATAAATTACAAGATCTTGAATCTAAGAATTCGATGTTTTGGAATGTCGTTGAAAATTTGCGGAATTGTTAATAAGACACGTTTTCGGTATTTTAAGCGCTGTAACTGTTCGCCGTTCTATTTTTATGTTTGTATTATTTCGTTACAGATGCTTTCAAAATCACTGTGCTGCTGAAGCTACCGAGTCTGATCAAATAAATCGTGAGTATTCCGTTACGAATGCTTCCCTTTATATGAAGTCCCACTCGGCACTACGAACGTATTCAGATCTATAAATAGTAGGATCGATAGGTGCTTGATTTTTGTGTCGCGGCGCGAAAGAATTACGAATTCTAAGGTAAAATCTTTAATATTCGTTGGCCATGACCTATCTTCATCCACGCGGCGGATCAAAACGCTGCGAGACTGCTTTGCGCAGTACGTAGCTACTTAAGCTCTATTAACCGTTGCGTCTGTTTGCAAATTAGGCTCAGAAGTTGTCAGAATCATCTGGTGGGTGTGTACACATCTACTCGTTCATGTCACTTGGAGTTTAGGTCGATGGAATTATCCAACGAGAACTCGTGCAGTTCTGTAGTACACTTCGTCGCGTGTTCATATATTTACAATATTTGGGTCAAAATTTCGCGTACAATTTTGCACGGTGTTACATTTAAAATTTCACTAAGTTTCGCACGCAATCGTTTATTAGGTTAAAAATGAATTATTTCCAACTTTTGGGCGCAGTTAAATACTTTCAACGGAATACTTTCCATTATTGTTGACGATCTTTTGCCAGCTTTCAGACAGTTTGCGAATACCATCGCGATAGAAACTTGGTGGCTTTGAAACAATTATGTGAACCCAGTCGGAAAGAATTCATTTCTACACCCGATACCTACTTACGCGATACCTTTCCAACAACATTAAACCTCTGCATTATCTTCCCCATTCTTTTTTTCTTACTTTTACAATAATACTTTGAGAATGAAATTCCTGTTAGATCGTTCAGAATTTGTAGTCGGGGCAAATACTACACAATAGCATTATCGTTCAAAGAGCATTATCGCGGTTTATACAGCACAAAACATAAAGATCAAGATGGCAGACCTTTGGGAACTGATATTCCAAACAACTGCATTAATTATTCGCGCTATCACTCCGTTGTTATTTAGCAAAGGGTACTGGTTATCTTACACACAGCGGTTGTAAAAATTTGAAGGCGTACAAAGGATGCACAGTGCGTTGATGCGAAGAAGCTGGCTAACCCGGTTGCGATTGAGAGGAGGAGTTTAATGCTCGCGCATTCTCGCGAAAACTTGGCACATTGAACGACGACATTTCTTCTTTTCATCTAACGATCGCGGTGTGTGTATATCGAGATTACCAGTGACGTCACGTAATACCGACAACGTGGATGGGTATGCAAACTAATGCAAATAACGTGTCGAAAGTGTCTGACTTCTCTTCAGTCCATCTAAATAGTCCTTGTCCGTATAGAATAGTTGAGGCGGCAATATGGCGGCTGAACGTGGCATTTAAGGATAGAAAGAAATCGTGTATTTCTTCGTGTCGGCATATATACTTGACCTCGGGGCATTCTGGGAAAAATTTGTTAATTTTGAAACGCATAGAAATTCCTTTTAGCTTACGTTTAGGTTGAACGTTTCGGGTACGAAGAAGTTGACAATTCGGATCTACAAAGAATACGTTTTGTGGATTTATGCCGGTTATATACATATGTACATGCTAAAGATTTCATCGAAATCGGTTGACGCAGAAACAAGCGACAGGCGTCGGAAGATGTGAGAATGTTTAAATTTGTTACAGTTATACTAGACTAACTGCGATTTTCGCAATTTTTATCCGTTTACCGCTCATAGGAACGTTAACCGATATCGATGAAATTTTGCGGCATGTGTGTATATAGGTGACATACACTACCGGCCAAAAATTTGGAATCAATTTATCCCATTTCGATTGATATAAATTCTGAAAAATTCGTTAAAATGTTCTTAAAATTGCTTACTTTTTTCTGGAAATGTTTGTGTAGCTTGCAATGCACAGTGGTTCGAAACATTTGGCCGGTAGTGTAGATCTGTAGAACGTATTTTTTTAATTTTCATTAGGGGCTCGAATAAAAAAATTGTAAAAAGCGACCTTTGTTATTGTCTTCGCGATTCATGTAGTAACCTAATCCTTCTAACTTCTCAAGAAAGCTCAAGTCGTTTGGTCCAATTTTAAAGAAGGTATTTCGTGTCAAAGGATGTTGGCACATTTCTGTCCCTGACTGTGTGCAGAACGACTTTAGAAACTGCGAGGATGCGATCTTTTTTTTAAGTAAACGTAGGAAAATTTAACAAAGTCTACGTTCCTGCGATAAAATTGTTTTTGCAAATGTTACAATGTATATGCAATATGGAATTGCTTTTTGTTTTCAATGGAATTCTGTTTTCCTCCTTGAGAGGAATGAGAACGAGGAATTAATACTTTGTACATTTTTTGGTAGTATTTCAACACTATACTTTACTTCCGTCATAACAATATTCGTTTCTTTGATATTAATTTCACGGAACGTTGGTTTCTTCGTGTTTATTTATTCGACTTTGGCCCTTTAATGTAAATGCAATCAATTAATAAGCAAATTTAGTCCTGAACTCGTTTTTCATTTTGTCTTGTATTCAAGGTTATGTTTATCAAGTTTGTTCAAGTGGAAAATAATGAAGCAATTAAAGTGGAAAAATGGACATTTCTTGGAATTTACGCTGTCCTCTGTGTTTGACGACTATAGGTTCGACCAAATATTAGAATTCCAAATATTTTTAACGAGATAGAGCGGAAACACATCTTTAAACCAACTATTTAACAGAAATTCACCAGAAGGAATAATTTTCTGAGAGATAAAGTTTATTCACTTTCTTTTCGTTTTTATCGATGATTTAAAGTATAGAATCAGAATTAATTGCTGAAGTGTAAGTGGCGCATAGCTCGACAATAATACCAGAAACGTGAAAAAACATGTAGGAAGATGTTTCAAATGTAACGGTAGAACGTTTGAACACTCATTGCAATAAAACAATTTTATCTCGTAAACGAGTCGTTTTTCTACTTTATTATTCCAGTACTTTTATACGGAAATGTGTGAAAGAATCGTTGTATGCAGAGAAAGGTGCATAGTTCCATTAAAATTACATATTACACGTACATTAACGCAGAAACGATTTTAACACAGTAATATAAACTCCATTAAACCATAGAATTTTGTCCCCCATTATTTTCTCCTATTTTCACTCACAGAACGATTGTACCTGGTCCTCATTTTTAGAATTATCCTATATTTCTCTCCCGTGATATAATTTTCTAGCCTGTGATTAGAAAGCTATCACTTACAAAAATATTATATTACCTAGAAAAGTATATTACACCAGAATGATACCGGTGTCACATCATGAAATGAATTGCCTTTTATCATTAGTTCCATACTGAAAGTAGCCATACATTAATGATAGTAATAAAGCACTTAAAGCAACTGCCAAGATAACTACATTTATAACGATGCTTTACAATCACCTACATTGGGGTATACCGATAAACCGTTGAAGTTATGTTAAGGAGTAACGTCATCGTTTCAATTGCTTCTCACACACGTGCAGCCTCTGATATGCCAATTTTCAACGAAAATCATCATTATTCGTAATTCTAACAGAAATCTGATTATTTTCAGTACTTCACACCTAATAAGATAGATAAAACACCTTTGAAAATTTTATCAGAATTTTGTGTACCTATTTACCAATTTAGGCATGTAGAATTTTGTCGTCATTAACAATGGTATGCTTTACCTCCGTTGATAGTTCTCACGATATCCTTCACTATTAACCTAAAATAGAGACAATGTGAAATCGATAGAGGTGTGCGAGAAGCTGAAAATGTCGGGTCGGGTCGGATCGAGAATTTTTCTCGGGATCGGGTCGGGTTGTTCCCGAAAGTATCTCGCGACTCGAGACTGTCGGAATTCACGAGAATTTCGAGAACCCAAATCACGTTTCTAGACTAACTGTAATATGATCATAATACGCGCCCTAAACTTGTCCCGAAACGTGATTCGGATTCTTGAAATTCTCGGGAATCCCGACAATTTCGAGTCGCGAGATACTTTCGTGAACCCGACCCGACTCGTTCCGAGTATCGGGTTCCCGACATTTTCGAGTTCTCGCACACCTCCAGAAATCAAGTATAAACTAATCGTAAATTGTTTTGTTTCCACAGGGAAACAGAATTGCAAAATGCAAGCAACACTGCTCCCGTTATTCTTAATCCTCCTGAATTACTCAGGATGGGCCAGTGGTCGATGTGCCTTGCAGAACGGTACCACGGCTCTCTGCGACGAACTCGACGATGTGAAGTACATCGAAACTCACGAACTCGACTCATTGAAGATTTCTGTGTCTGAATCTGTTCTCCATCCGGGACATTTCTACAATCTGACCAGTCTTCGACATTTGGACCTCTCGGGAGGTAGTATCGAACGAATCGAACCGGGAAGTTTGGACAAATTGACCAATCTAAGGAGATTAGATCTTGCGGGAAATCGTATTGGACACTTGGAATTGAGTTCTATGGATGGTCTGAATCATTTGCACAGCCTGATCCTTCGCAAGAACAATCTTGAACAGTTGCCGCCGGTTTTGGCCCGCTTAAAAGTTCTTAAACACCTCGACGTCCAAGGTAATCCGTTGCAATGTAATTGCGCTACACTCAAGGTGAGAGATCTAATCGTAAAGAGGGGCGTGAAGATCTCGAAAACAGTACTCTGCGCTGGTCCGAGTAACGTGAAAGGAACGCCGTTGCTTAAACCGGACGCAACGGTTGTGTGCCATTTCGAGGAGCAGGATCGCGAAATGCAGAATGACGAGGCGTACAGAAACTCGGGTGAAGAAGACGGTTCCGGAGACTTGCTCGAGAAGGAGAACGACAGCGAAGAGTATGCAAAGGCAACGAGCGTTTCCGCCGAGGTGCTGCAGGAAGTAGAGACACCGGCCCCTAAAGTTTCTACCGTAGCTGAAACGAAACCGACCGAACTGTCGCGGGAATCCACTAGCGATGTCGAAGGAACAGTAGTCCCGGGTGAAACCACGGATTCTGCCAAGACGTCACTCGACAAAGACGAAGAGTTCTTCGTCGATTTTGGAGAGAACAAGGAGCAAACGTCCACGGTTACGACAGCAACGGAGAAAAATAAAGTGTACAAAGACGCTCTGTTTGATCCTGTGGAGGGTTCCGGAGATGTGGAGGAAGGCTCCGGGGAAGGTTCCGGAACCGGCATGTTCTTCGACGATTGGAAGAAGATCGACGAAGAACGGAAATCGAACGAAAAGGAAGAACCATCGAGCAATGGGTTGTTGGATATATTAGGTATCTTTTGGAGCACGACGATGTCTTCGACTGTAAAAGAGGATCCCGACTTGGAAGAGGAGCAGTTCATCGACGCATCTTTGACGAAAGGGGTCGACGAAGAAACTGTCGTGACAGAGAAGATTTCTTTGGACGAGGCAGTGTCCAGTACCACCGACATGACTACCAAAGCTGCCACTAACGAAATGGTCATAGTCGATGGCGAAGCGAACGACATGACGAAATTGGGCAAAGTGAAAGTCAAGGATGAGGACGTGAACGACGAATTGGCCGAAGTGTCACCTGCGAAACAGTCGAAGAAAGGGATGGGCTCTTATGTCGTTCTTGCCGCTTTGTTAGCAGTCCTGGCGACTCTCATAGGATTCGCGGCTTACAAGGGTGACTTTTGCAGGAAAAAGAGGAAACGCGACGACGTCGAGAACGGCACTGAATTGAAAGACATGCAGAAGGCTTTGCTGGAAGCCGGAAATACGGTGCAACCAAAGATAGCTTCGAACGGGAACGTGGAGAACGCTCCTCTGGTTGAAGACACGACCGACCACGGGGAGATAAAAGATTCCGACGATCGTCAGGTTATGGCAGACGTACAAAAATCCTCGAACGGAATTTCCGACCGGGCGGAGCCAGTAAAACCGCCGCGTGCGGTCACTCCGCAAAATGATCAGAGAAGCAGAGAAAGTGGTGACCAGAGGGACGAGAATTCTCTGAAAGATGATCTATTATCGACGAGGACAAATTCCATAGATCCAGTAACTAATAATAGCCCAATTGCCAGACTACCAGGAGTGAACGGGCCTCCCTTAAGTCCCGGTGCTCAGAGAGTGAAGATCACTTTGCAAGAAAATCCTGACAGCATACCAAGGACGCCTATACTCGTCACAAGAACAATGGCTGGTGAGAATCTAGTCAAGATGCAATGAAGTAGACACGACGAGGAGTTGATCGGATAAAAACTTCGAATGATTCGTGAGAAATATCGAAGATGAGGAGAATTCGAGCAAAGGAAAGAAGGAATGGGATGTGGGAATGTTGAAGGGGTCGAAGTGGATATCGGTGTGACGGTGTATTCCGATTTAAAGGATTCTTAATGCCGCCAGTGTTCCTAGGCTCGTGCTTGATGGCCCTTGATCCCAGTGGATTATTTACGATAAAGTGAGACGTACAATTATGTTATATTTTAGTTGGTATTACGCGTGTGGAACGGGTTGGTCGCCTTTTGTAGCGCGGAGTCGACAATAAGCAGGAGGAACGAGCGATTCTGTGAAACGAGATTGTTTGTACATATCCGCAGATAATAGTCGTATTTGTGGATGGAAAATATTTGATACATTTTATATATGTGTATGCAATATTAGCACACTAGTCAGTTTCTCTTAAGGATCTTCCTTCTCGTGTAAACTTGAACGGATGTCAATTACGATAAGTTCCATTAGAATCCTCTGAACTCGAAGTGTAGCATTATCGCACTTGATGTAACTTCAATATTGCTGTAACGATGAATATCTTTTCCGTTGGACATATTAAATCGTTTAGACTTGATGAATTGTTTGATCGAACTGTTCATATTGTTCTAAAGACGTACTATAATGTGCTGATAGTAAAAAAGAAATGTTTCGTTTCGTGATATTAAATTCCGAAAGGTAAAAAGAACATTTCGACTTTCGTTAGCGAAACTTAAAACTTAACAATCAAAAAAAGAATTAATTTATATAAAATTTATATCGAATATATTTATAATAATCATTCCAGATTTATCATATCATTCTATCCAATAATTGTTGTCGTCGACAGCAAACGGCACGGAATAGAATAATATAAAGTAAAATATTCGAAGGTAGATTATAAGTAGGAATAACCGATGTATTCGAGATCCGTTTTAACGTAGAATTAAACTTCCAACGTCTTGAATATGAAATGCCAAATATCTTGTATTCGAGTGGGTATGAAACTTACTGTTTGCGGTTTCTTAGAAATTTCGAAACTACCGAGTAACTTTTTCTACAGAACATCCACAAGAATAATTGTTATATTATAGATAAGTCGATTTATCGAAATCAATGCTACAGATGTTAATGTTAAACGTTGTTCAGGTATTTGTTGAAATTCATCGAAAGTGATAGGAACTATCGGGAAACATTCGAGAGATACGAAATGTACCGTTAAATTGATAGCTAATTTCTACCATCTAAAAAAAATATTCATCTTCAAAAAAAAAAAAAAAAAAATTGTTCCTATCACTCTTTTCTACACGTTTTTGCAAACCAAATGCGTTAATAATATGAAAGTATTTATCATTAAGATAGAGCACAATCCCCGTGCAAAAAATTCTTCCAAAGATGGCACATGCATCCTTGTATTATTGCAGCATATGAATTGTTCGTGGGAATGTGAAGCGTCTTTTTAATTTTCATACAAGCGTTCAGTTTAACCTGTAACGAAGAGAACCATCTCATTGATACTGTGATTAGCACTGAAACGCTAAAAATGGGGTAATCTTTGATTCTACGAGATATCATTGACACATCATTACTGTCGTCATTTACTTTATTTCCTAGATAAGTTGACCGTGAAACATTTATAAAGTATACATTGTTATGGATAAATATGATACCGAGTTAAACCAATCATGTCAATATACTTTTCAAACGTTTATAATTTTAACAGTGGATGCGAAATAAAATATTAATATTTGTCAGACAAACGTTTGTCTTCTATGGTATTTATTCATCCTGTCGTAATATCACGTAATTACGCAACAAATGCATTATACAGGGTGTCATGTAAGTGGTGGTAGAAGCGGACAAATAGCGATTCTACATGAAAAACTAAATCGAAAATATAGAATAAAATTTTCTCATACGAGGCTTCGTTTCCGAGATAATTGAATTTAAAGATTTGCCCCAAACTGTTGCTTCTGCTCATGCTTTTACGTTGATAGACAGTGGTAATGTCACATTTCGCGAAAAAATAGTCTAAACAGAAAACAGTGTAAATGTGTAGCTGAGAGAAAGAATTGTACACGCTTTCACATAATTAAAGCGCCAAAATAACGTATCCTCAGTCCGTGATTCCCAAATTCAAAAAGCCGGACGTCAATTGCAACAATTCGTTTAGTAATGTAAATTTAAACGAAGGAAATGGTTAATAATGGATCATCAATACCTATCGTGTCATTGGAATCGTTTATTAGTACAAACATAAAGCAGAGAGATAGTTAAATGCACCCACACTCGACGTATTTTCAAATACAATTTTCTCGAAAACTAAGCCTCTTATGAAAAAATTTTATTTTACATTTTCGATTCAGTTTTTCATGTAGAATCACCACCTTCTCACTTGTACCACCAGTAACTTTAACTAACTTGTAGTGAAAGCATAGCACCATATTCACAATTATGCACACAGAGGAAAAAGCTACTAATTCTAAGTCACTTTTTAATTAGCTTCTTTTCCAACGGTTTAAATATAGCATGAATGTACATTAGAGAACTAAATGACATAAGTGTCATACACATATTTATTAATATTGACAACTTATAAACGAAGAAATAATATAAAAATAAGAAATTTGCATTTTTCTAAAAATCTATTACAATTTTCTTTGCTGTGTATGCTACGGTAAATTGTATGTACATTAAACTGGTCAAATGATTGATTACAATACGAATAACGCGAGAACGATTGCTTTTAATCATTGTGAAAGTAGCATGAAATTACTGTACCCTTACAGCACCATGCTTCCATCGTTTTATGTTTCAGTACAACTTATGACCGCTTTATACAACAGAAAATATGAACAATGGCTAGAAACTGTAAATTCTATTTATTTACACAATATTTGTTTACTTCTTATAAATTACGTGCAGAAAATGTGTAATTGCATTTTACACTGTGTAACAATTTTTTAAAGAAATTTAAATAACAATCATTAAATACTTTCCTGAGCTAATTCTATTTATTTTTTCTTTGAAAGTTTTTTTAACGAAAGTTGAGTAAAATATTGTGAGAAATATTTAGGTAACAACATGAAAGTGTACGCGAATGAGAATCATTTTCGAAAACAAGATAGTTATGGTATATCTTGAACGAAAAAATTAAACAAAATGTTTCACTCAGTTTGCTAGTTTTATTTTACATATATAATTTTCTCATTTGCAATTAGAACTGTAGAAAATTACGATTACAGATTTCATTCACACTTATAAATTTATATTTCAATTTTGTCGCTACACTCTATATCGCTTTCAACGATTTTAAATGTGTTGTCTTTTTTACTCCTCTGTATTAAATTTGTACAATGTTACCATAAAGAAGTAGAGAAGAGTAAATTTTTGTTGATAGTTTTGGTACGGAATACACCATTGAGCGAAATTTTCACGATTCATTGCATATTTTATCCTTATTCTATTGTTCTAGCAACGAAGTGAAACATTTGATTATCCGATAGAACAACGAGGAAATGTTATTGCTTTATCACTGTTCCGACCTGTAATACTAATTAATCTCTGGGCTGGTAAGATGACGACTGACCACGATTTTTGCAAAGAACTAAATTCTTCGAAGTATCAAAACGTAATGAAAGTTCATGTGAAAAATTTAACCAATTGATTGTTAAAATTCTCGTTCTGTAGTAGATTCTCTATAACCGCCTTTAGGTTCTCTTCGGAGTTCTCTGATGACGATCGATCTACTCGAGCCAACTGGTTGAATATCCGAGTCTTCGTCATCAGTTGAGTGGCCATCGTAAACTGTGTACCTCCGTTTCTTTTTCCTAGTGCTTGGGGTTTGTGGTCTGGAACGTGTTCTTCCGCTAGCCGAATCCATAGAATCGCTTATCACACTCTGCCTTCTGGCTCTACGCGCTGCGTAGACTTTCGAATTCCTTTGACTCAGTGGTAAGTCGGTTCCGCTGTTACCGGCGGAGCTATTCCTCTCTCTTCTAATTCTTTCCTGTCGACGTTCACCCCTTCTGAGCAAGTCGTCTTCGCTCTGAATCCTCTTTTTCGGCCTTCTCGTTCGCCGTTTAACTCTTATATTATCAACAGAACCCATGATACGCGTCGTAGACATTTCTACTGAAATTTCGTCTAAATTGTCCAAGGATCGTGCTAACCTTGGCATCTGTATTGCTTCTTCGTAACTGGGCGGCCCTACTAATTCAAGAGGGTGGATTCTTGGTTCTGGTACGCGCTCAACGTGTTCTTCTTGTGCTGCTTGAGTCCTGTTCAGTGATCAACAGTTAATAATACTTATCTTGCGGACGAAAATCATGAAAAAGTTTCAAATGAATTATGCGTTTATCAAATCAATGAAATTAATTTAGATTTTGTAAACATAGGATACACCTGGAGTCGTATTTTATTTGGACTTCGTTTTAGAATTTTAAAGTATTTCTTGGAACAATTGAATTTGAAATTGTTTATTGTGAAAACTATTTAAATTTCTAGAGTTCAATAATCATACAGATTCTAATAGAATATTAAATCGTACAAAAGATATTTTCTGTTCTTATACAGATAAAGCAGATTCCTGAATTATCCTATATTGATAACACCACTAACTGCAGAATTGTGTTTGCAATTTTTTTACTGTACACAGGTACAATGAAAGTGGATTATATTTGCAATTTTATATTATTCATTTAACGTTGCTGTATTACCATATTTAAGAAAACCACTCTCTTGTTTGAATCATTTATCACATTCTTGCCTTTAAAATGATACAATTCTTCGTTAATTGTTTTATTACACAAAAAGCCATTAAATTTTTACAGAATGCCATTTTCTGTTTATAATAGTTAAGTCACTTCTCGATTATAAAACACTTTTCTAATCATGTAGTATGGCTTAGCATTTTACTGTTGCGAATATGTGAATCGTTTTTTTTTTAAGTGGTTTAAGTCCATTTGTAGCTAAAAAACCTTGTTTCTCTTTAATAATATCAATAACTATTACCACACAACAAAATATAACGTATTTATAATTTTAGAAACATTATACGAAGTTATCAACGTTTGCCAATATTTTTTAATTAATTCAAACGCAAATCTTTAGATATCTCAATATAGGAATAAATAAATTTGTACCACTTTAAAAAAAAAACCCGCTCATGTATAGATTTTCTTATACAGCTAAATGTATGCAATGGTTGAATGTAATTTTCCTTTTCCAATAAAAAACAGTTGCTTTCTTCCCTACCTTCTTTGCCTTAGCAGTCTCAAGGTTTCTAATTGCTGCCTTTGCTCCAAGGCTCTTCTTTTGATCCTCATCATGTGTCTGATGGATACGAAGCTCCCGAATAAAACAACCATCATGAGAAGAGCGATCATTACAAATCCCCAGGTTCTGTCTTTGTTATAATACAAAGGTTCGTTCCACGCGTCGAAACAAGCAGTTATCCAAGTGTAACCGGACACATTCGCCGGTGTCTGACAGAGTAAACTTTGCTCAAAAGTTTTCGCGGGTGGTTCCGTTAGAAAGGAGTACATAAAGAGTAATTCTTTGCAATCGCAACGCCACGGATTGTCCTCTAATTTGATGGTATTTATGTCTGGGTTGTTTCGAAAGATCATCGGATCTATAGCTCCAGTCAATCGGTTTCCTGCAACATTTTTTATTAACCTTAGATGATTACTTTTAACTAATTAACGATTATACTTATTCTAAAAAATCCGTAGTCGAGTATCTAAATTTCCTTCGATCCATTTACGAGGTATAGCTAACAATGTAAAATCAAAATTAACGTTAGTAAATTAGAAGACTTCTTAATGTTTCAAGATTTGTACTGTTTTCCTTGAAAGAGGTAAATTATGAAAAATTCGAACATTTAGCGAACGTCCCTGATTTTTCTTCCCTCTCCAGGATCAATAAGGCAGTTAAAAATCGAACCTGATAAATCGATCCTTATCAGCTGCGGCAAATGGAGAAAGGTGTCTTTGTGTACATCAACTATTCTATTTCTTCGTAAGTCCAAGTTCCTCAACGTCGTTGATTTCAGTCCAGGTGGTATTCTTTCTAGACGATTATCGCTGAAATTGATGCTCCTTACTTTCGGCATGTTTGCCAAAAAGTTTCCATTCATATTACTGATCTCGTTCGATGATGCGTCCAATGACGTCACCGCTGACGTAAGATTTGGAAATTCGTGCAGGGTATTGTAAGATAAATTGAGCAACTTAAGTTCCACATTTTCATGAAATATCAACGGATGAATCATATCTAAATTGTTCACCGATAAGTCTAGCACTTGAAGTTTCACCAAACCCTCGAAGGCGCTCGCGTTCAAATTTTCAATGGCGTTCGTGTTCAAGTACAGAAAACTGAGTTCTCGATTTTTCGCGAAAATTCGATCCGGCAGCATGCGAATTATGTTGTGAGATAGTCGAGCGTGAGTCAACGATGGAAGTCCGTGGAGGCCAGGTCTGTCCAAGTTACATCGCGACACATCTAGCTTCTTCAGTTTTAAGTGTTTCAGTGTTGTGTGTCTGGAAGCAAAATATGTATATATTAATATATGTTACGAAATAGATAGCTATTGTAACTCACAGCTTTCTATTTTCAGTGTTCGCTATTTTCGATTGCACGAGGCTTTTTAAAATTCAAACTTTTTGCCTCCTCACTTAAATTGCAACGAAACAGCGTATTCCTTTAAGAAGGTAACTACTGGGTTTCATTTATGCATTTCTCAGTGCTAGAGTAACGGTTACTAAGTATATCAATTTATTACAGCTGCGGATACTCTTTTCCTAATAAAGATATGATCTTGAAATGACCTTCACCCCTATGGCCTAATTTCTCCCTGAAATACAGTATCTTCCTTCCGATGCATTCTTTGTATCTTTACAAATAGCAAAATAATTAAGGGTAGCAGCCCGACTAGAATTTCAGTTAGGCATGCCTAAAGACGAATGTGGGCCTAATGCGGAAACGATTAGGTACACCTAAATACTGCAAGATTAATCGTTACCGCATTAGGTCCTAATTCGGAAGGAATGATGCATGCCTAAGCTGGGTGGCATGCCTAAAGACGAATGTGGGCCTAATACGGAAACGATTAGGCACACCTAAATGCTGCAAGCCTAATCGTTACCGCATTAGGTCCTAATTCGGAAGGAATTACTCATGCCTAAGTTGGGCATTTCTAACAGTTGCCATACGTGGCCCAAATGGGAGTGGCCGAGCGCACGCTTAGATTGGGCATTCCTAACAGTTGCCATACGTGGCCCAAATGGGGGTGGCCGAGCGCACGCTTAGGTTGGGCACTCCTAACAGTGGCCATATGTGGCCCAAATGGGGCTGGCCGAGCGCACGCTTAGGTTGGGCACTCCTAACAGTGGCTATACGTGGCTGAAATGGGGATGGCCGAGCATAATTCGGAAGGAATAACGTATGCCTAAGTTAGGCATTCCTAACAGTTGCCATACGTGGCTGAAATGGAGGCACACCTAAATTAGGTGGAGTGAGGCTCACAAACTTATATGTAGGAATATTTACAGGCATCTCAGTGTTGGACGTACGCTTGCGTGAGAGCTTTCAACATACAGTGTCTTGAGGTATTCCTCATGAGATTTCATCAATGTCTCCCAATGATAGCCTAATAAAGCTATTCTAATATGGGCCTAATGCGGTTGGCCTCATTGGATAGTCATTGGGAAAGCCTAATGCGGCCCTAACGCGGCTTTCCCAATTAGGCGGTCGTGAATATTCCGCGTTACATACCGCATGCGGGCCTAACAGGCAAATTAGGCTAGCCTAATGCGGACCTAATGTCTGCCTAACTGAAATTTCTAGTCGGGCATGTTTAAGTCAGAAATCTGTACCAAGTGATAAATCACGAATAATTAAGATTTGTGAATATTATATTATAAATAATTAAGTATGTGCATGTAGTAACACTTTAATATGTAAACCTGTAGCAAATTTAGTATAAGGGTGATTCAACTAAGAGTGCAATCTAAATTACTTGTAAACTGTTGGTTACGCGAAAAAATTGTATGGTATCTAGGGGAGCACAGGATGTACTAATTAGTTTATAGAGATATGAAGGTTACCTTGAGTTTCTTAATGATAATGGTTAAAATCTGACTCTGCAGTTGGAAAGAGTAATGAACGCTGAGTGAAAAACGATTAAGGTGTATGGGTCCAGAAACTAATAATTACTGAGATATTCTTCAGGGAATGATGATAAGCTTTCGTAGCCGGCTTGTTCTCCGGATTTGACGCCACTTGACTACTTTCTTTGGGGGCGTCTAAAAAGTGAGCTTAACTGCGAGCCACCAACGACTCCTGAAGATATGAAAAATCGTATCATAAGAGCATGTAATGCTATAACTCAAGAAACACGTCGACATGTGACATTTTCACTTATTCGTCGACTACACACTTGTATTAATTGCAATATACAGTATTTTGAGTATCGCTCACATTAAAAATCGTTCGAAGAATAATATCTCGGTAATTATTAGTTTTTCGACACAAACACTTCAATAGCTTTTTACTCATCGTCCAACACTCTTTTCAACTGCAGAGTCAAATTTTACCCATTATCATTAAGAAACTCAAGGTGACCTTCATATGGCGATAAGAAAGCGAAATAGCAATACAACTTTCGTTTACTTTCGTAGAACGGGACGTTGTGATAATGCACTGCGTGTAGTAATAAACACTTATCGCGTGACTAATTTTGCATGGTACAATTCAACGTGCAAAGTTAGTACATTCACGTGACCCATTTTCCTAAAGTGTGCAGTAATTATACTAAATCACACACTTTTCGTGAGCAAAAAAAGAAAAAGTTATTTGAAAACTCCAGTTTTACAAAATTTCTGTTAACAAAGCTTAAATCTGGTGTAATTCAGTACAACAAAATCAGTTCCTCAAAATAATACTTATTACCTTCCACGGCTAATTTATTACAAATTGAACTCATTCTAATCTTCATTTCAAATGTTCCTCAAACTAAGGTAAAAAATGTAAATAAATTCACTCTCGTTTAAATCACAAATTAAATATCTACACCCTACACATGCAAACTTTATAAACTTTTCGCCTACTTCACATACATTTATAAATAGTTAATTCAACAATAAAAACTCGAATTACTACGTATACTAAATCTAGATCAAAGAGGAGATATTGTTCAGGTACTGCAGATTGAAGAGATTAAATAAATAAGGAGAGATTTACTAATTTGATCTAGAGTGAATCTGAGAAAGACAGTACTCTACCAGAAGGAAAAAACATAACGAAACGTAATCTTATTTGAGCATTTTTTCAATTTTCCATAAATAATCACGTTTCTCTATCATATCGATTTCATTTTATACATATTTTAATACAGATCGTTGTCATTTAATATTAAATATGATTCCTTGTTTCATTTAGTACCAAATACGATTCATAACTCTCATGAATCCATTACCCTTCTGTTACTTTGTTGCACTTTAACCGAAAAAATCCACGTTTTCGAAGCCGACGATACTTGTTCGAACTTCCTTTTACATATTTATGCCTTCTGTAAGATTCTATCGTCGATTCATAGCACTTTGCCTTTAGTTTCAACTCTTTGAAGATCATGAAGTCGAATATGTCCAACGTACGCTTAGTAAATGTTATCAACGTAACTAATGATCCTCTACACCTTTGTCCAATGAAAACAGTTAACATGTTCACGAATTTGTGTATTTTCATTCGAAAGAAGTACACTTTTATTACGATTTATTTTAGAGAGCAATTTAAATGGTAACCTACGGCGCATGCTGCTTTTCACGCAAGTAGACAAACAACTGTCTGAAATTCCCATTCGTGTGTACACAAGACGATTACTTTAATATTTCGTTTGGAATATTTCTTTGTATTATAGCTAAAATTTAGTTGCTTTCGTTATAATTAATTCCTGAACGTTTTTCGCGTCACCTTAAGGAATAGCTTCTGCCTAGAATTTCACTAGCTTGCCTGGTACTGTAGACTAATGTAGGGTTGTTGGAAAGTTGAAGCTCCAGGAGTTCTGGCAATCCACTGAAAGTATCGGGACCCAGGTAATTCAAACGACAGTCAGACATATCAAGCCAGCGTAATTTTGGGCTCCACACTTTCTGGATTAATTTCAACGGGTTCCCTGCTAAGCTAAGAGTAGTCAACGCTTTCAGGCCGTCTAAGGATGTATTACTCAGCTCCCGTATTCCTGTTAAATAAAAGTACATTAATGAAAACCTCGTGATTATTGTTAGCGAGTAAAATTTTTCAAAAGAAGGATGTACGTATGAGAAACAAATTCTGTTGTCTGACCTTTTTGGTTGAAAATCTCGAAAAATACGCGAGCACCATGTGATAAATAAATATTTTAAATATTGTAGAAGAGTTAATAGTGCTTGCTCTTAGAACCTTCTACAGGTCTATGCAAGAGTTTCCATCATTTGAGAATCGATGCCATTAAAAGGCACTGTATGTTTCTTTTCTTATTTAAATTTTCACAGTTAGTATTTATACTGAATACAGTATTGATATTGTATTATTAGTATTCTCTATTAACACTTTGCACTCCAATGACGCTGTTACAGCGTAATTACTTTGGAAAACTTTAAAATGTAAAATTCAGGTTCTTTTTATACTATTAAAATAATGCAAATTAGAAATCTCTTTTTTTTTCCAAAACTTTGGGTTTTCAAAAGTTTCACTGTACAAGTGTGTACAAGTGTACTGGAGTTGCTGATTAATCTTATCAACAAATGCTTGGAGTACAGAGGGTCGATTGTAATAACTACAATATAATTCCATAATAACTATATAGTATTAATATCACATTATTGCAGTATTATTATGAGAACTAATTATAAACATAATAAAAAGTTAATACACATTCTCGAAATAAGTACGATGGAAACTTTTGGATAGACCTAATACATACGTACACATTCAAACATTTGCGGATTCAGCATAAATGTTCGAAGGGTATTTGACACGTGAATTAGAACATTATCGTACCGCAATGACTAGCATCCAGAACTGTAATATTAGCGCTTATTAAACCCTCCAAACTGGATAATGGATTTCTCGACAGATGCAGAACCAGTAAAGATGGCAATTGCCGAACGGAATTAATATCAATGACGTCGTATATTTTGTTGTCGCTTAGATCCAATCTTTTCAAGCTTTTTAGGAAACTTATATCCTCGGGCAGTGAACTTAATTTATTCCTTGCTAAATTCAGGTACTGTAAATCTATCAGTCGATTAACATCACTAACTGTGATATTCGTCAGCAAATTATTCGATAAGTTTAGTTGCTCCACCTAAAACATGATTAAGTGATCACTGATCAACGATAGCGTATTTATACGGTACATGTGTGACAATTTCTCGGGTGTATTTCACAAGGAACATTGGCGAACAGCTACTGTTTATATTTGAGAAGAATATCAGGGAAAAATAGCATTTTCGCACGATGGCGCAATTTATGCAACACATTCTTCTGCTTTTGAATGAAAACTTGCAGTTGAGAATTTTTTGAAAAATCATCGAGAAGTATCTAGATATATATTAGATATCTGTTAAATCTTTTTCCCCATCTATACCGTTACATTTATATAAGTGACTCATTGGTAGTTGCGTTTTCAACGAGCAACGCGATAAAGTATAGGAAGTGTCTGTCAAACGGCCATTAATCGAAGTCTTCTTTGTATTCCTTCGAAAAGTGCTTGTACACGACACTATTCGTCGTTGGTTTCGATCTTATCGGACAAGTTCACTTACCATGTCGCTTATATTTTCGGGGAATATTTCCAAACCTTGCTGCGAGCAGGTGACGGTTCTTGGTTGTTGGTCGAGGTGGCACAAACACCTTGTGGGACAAGTACTTTGACATAGTGCGATCGAGAAAATTCCCAAGTACGTGGCGAATAAAGAGAGTAAACGGCAAGAGGTCATTATCCGGTCCTTCATGTTCTCTACTATCATACGCGATCGCGTGATGTCCCATGGAAATCACATTTTCACCGAAGGGAAAACGTGCAACGGTTTCTTCAACAGAGGCACCGCGTATCCATTTTCCTCGATTCACGACTATCCATTTTCACTGTCCGTCGAATTTTTTGAAGAAGTAAGGCGGTGTGACGAGGATCGATGAGTGGCTCAACAGTGCTCGGAACCGTTCTGAAAACTACTGAGTACTTATCTTTGATAAGTAACGCGGGATATGCCGCATGATATCTCCGTAAGATAACTCGAGCGTGCGGCGAGGTGTTGAGAGCATTATTCCCGGTAATAGACGAAAGAATTGTGTAGATATATCAACGAATGTA